GTCGCTGCAGCACCGGCACCGCCGCCTCGTCATCGGCAAACAGCTCGGCGCCATGGGCGTACAGCAGCAGGCTGCGTGCCGGCAGGGAGGGGCAGGGGGAGGCGGCGAGCAGTGGAGGGCGGCCGACGCTGCTGCGCAGCGCACTCCAGGCCCCCAGGCGGCCACCCCAGCCAGCCCGCCAGCCAGCCCACGCCACCCACCGCTCGTGCGCTGCATCCAGGGCCGCCACCGCCGCGTCGCGCAAGCGCCGCCGCCTCTCCGCTCCCGCGGTGAAGATGGCGTGCAGGGCTCGCTCGTACTCTGCCACAATAGCGGGGCGCAGCTCTGGGGGCGGGGAAAGGAAGGGGGCAGGAGCGCGGGGGCTGAGGCCGCGCAGCGGCTCGGCGGCGCAGCGGCGGGGCGGGGCAGGGCGGGGAGCAGCTGCGGTGCCTGCCCGCCATGCAGCCCAGGCGCCCCAGCACATGCAGCATTGCAGCCTGGCACCCAAAGCGGTGCGCCCAAGGGGGGGGGCTTGCCTGCGGCGATGGCCCGAGGCAGGTCGCCGTCGGCGCCGGCGCCCTCGGTGTCGGGGTGCATCTGCGCCACACGCCTGGCCAGGCTGTCCAGGCTGAGAGCGCCGCTGGAGGGGCCGCCGCCGCCGCCGCCGCCGCCGCCGCCTGCGCTCGCGCCCTGGCCAGCGGCCGCCTTGCCGCCGCCGCCGCCGCCGCTCCTGGCCGGCTTGCCGCCGCCGCTGCCGCCCGCGGCGGCCTTGCCCTTCTTCCCGCGCCCGCCCTTCTTCCCCTTCTTTCCACCCACATCCCAGCCGTTGTCCGACCCAGAATCCGCCGCCGCCGCCGCCGCCGCCGCCTTCTTGCCGCCGCCCTCTGGCAGCACCGTCACGGTCACCTTGCCGCGCCCTGCTGCCCCCCCGCCGCCGCCGCCCTCCTCCCCTCCCTTCTTCTGCCGCCGGTGCGCGTCGTCTGCCGCCTGCCGCGCCGCCTCCAGCAGCTGTGCGCGGATGCTTTCCAGCAGGGCAGCCGCCACCACGCACGATCCGGCCATGACGTGCGCGCGCCCGCCCGTGGCCGCCGCCGCCCCCGCCACCGCGCGGCACTGCGCCAGCAGCGCCGCGGTGTCCCCCGGGGACAGGATGGAGGGGAGGTGGGGAGCCACGTCGCACCATCCGCCAGCCGCCAGCGCCTCCTCTGCCGCCGCCTCCACCTGCGGCGCGGTGACGCGGGGTGGAGCAGGGGCAGCGGCGGGCGGGTTTCGGGAGGCGGCAACGCCGGCCGCGGCGATGCTGCGCCCACGGCTGATGCCCAGCCCCTGCAGCGCCGTGCCCCAGCCACACATGCCCAGCGCAGGGCGGCAGCGGTGGGCAGCAGCGGCGGAGCGGCAGCGGCGCGGGGGCGGCAGCGCGCCTGGTCCACCACCGCGGGCGACAGGTAGGCGGAGTCGAGGGCGAGGCCGTCGGGAAAGTGGTGGGCCAAAAAGGGGCGGGGTGCGGGGATGCCGTACTGCCTGACCTGCGGGACGGCAAGCAGGGGCAGGCCAGGCGGGGTTGGCGGAGGTGTGTGCCGCAACAGAGGAGCGGCGCCCTCGTGGCAGGCCGCACAGGCGGGCGCCTGCATGCGCCGCCGATGACGCCGCCCACTCACCCACCCACACTACACCTGCACACAGTAGGCTGCTGACCGCCAGCCGCCACCAGCCCACCCAGCCACCCACCGTGTCGTATGCGATGTGCCCGTTCTGCTGGAAGAAGCGCGTGACGGCGTCCTGCTGCGACTGCACGTAGGTGGCTGGCACCCAGCTGGAGGCGCCGGGCGCCAGCTTGCCCGCCACGCTGCCTGCGGCGCACATCACGAGGCGGGGCAGCGCGGCAGGCTGGTACCTTAGCTCCTCTCTAGGGATGGGCGGCAGGCGGCGCATGCATGCCCCTGAGCACCACCGGCCGTCCCGCCATCAGTACCCCACCAGTACCGTACCGCCCACCTTCCGCCGCCAGCTCATCCACCAGGCTGGGCACCAGCGCCTTGAGCGAGGCCAGCCCCTCAATGCCCAGCTCCCGCACCAGCGCGGGAATGGACACGGGAGAGACGGCGCCCCGCAGCGCGCCCCTGCGGGCGCACGGGGCCAAGCGGGGGCCGAGGCTCGGGCGCCAGAGCGCTGCCGCCCGCACGCAGCAGGGGGCTGGGCTGCCTGGAAGCTGGATGCCAGCTGCCCTGCCACCACCCCCCACCTCCCCACCTGAGCTGCGCCTTGATGCGAGTGAGGTATGCCTGGGTGTAGATGACCCCCGCATCCATGCGGCCGTGGATGCGGGTGCCCACGCGCTCGCCCAGCACGCCGCCAATCATCTCCGCGCCCAGCCCAAACCGCCGCGCCAGGTCGCCGACTGCGGGCAGGGGCAGGGGCAAGAGCAGGGAGGGCTTCAAAGCGCGGGGAATGGCTTCACCTCCCCACCACCTCGCAATTACACACGCATGCACCGGCAAGGGATGGCGGCGGCCTGAGCGGCGCGCACCCGACACCACCCCCGCCTCCTGCAGCCCTTCGTCCACCTCCGCCGCCAGGCCATCAAAGTAGGCGGAGGAGAAGAGCTCGCCCTGGGCCAGCTGGATGCCGCCGCTGGAGGCCGCCACCACCGCGTCTGCCGCGCGCTCGCAGTGCACCAGGTCCAGCCCCAGCTGGCTGGGCAGGTCCACCTGTGTGGGGGGCAGGCGAAGAGGGGCGGCGTGTATGTCCGTGCGAGAGAGGGGGAGGGGCAGGACAGCACGGGTTCGGCAGACAACAGTGCAGGGTGTGGCCAGTTTGGGCATGCCACGTGCAGCCAGCATGCAGCTGCTGACGGCTGCACGCAGGCCTCCCGAGGCAAGCAGGCGCGCTCCCCAGCCTGCTGCGCCTCCAGGCTGCGCCGCACCAGTGGGATGCGTCCGCCGGCGGCCCGCACGGCGGCGCGCACTTCGGCCGCCACCCGCTCCCGCGTCACATACTCCTTGCCGTTGCTGGTGTACAGCAGGTCGTCTCCCAGCAGGCCCAGCTGCTTCAGCTTGTTCACCAGCTCCACCACATTGCGCTCAGACAGGCGCGCCTGCGGGCGGGCAACGGAACGGCGGCGGCGGCGGCAAGCAGGCGGGGGCGGTGTGTGTTGGGTCCGAGGCGGCAGCGGCTAGCGGCCCTGTGTTTCTCCATCCGTGGCAGTTCCTAGAGACGGGTGCCGCACTCCGGAACAGCAGAGGCAGGCCCAGGTTGCCAAGCGGAAGGCGGCAGTGGTGGCGGCGGCGGCCTCAACCTTGCTCTTCTTCTGCTGCGCCTCCTGCAGCCCACTCAGCAGGTCATCGAGAGACAGCTCCATGCTTGCTGCGCTGTGCTGACCTCCCCCACACGCCCACACGCAAGGTGATCGGGCCTGCAGACGCCAGGGGCGTCGCCACAGCTGACTGATGAACTCCCTGAATTGCGCAAAGGTTCCTGACACCCCATTCTTGCAGCAATGCTGCAAATCAATGCCTCCCTGCTGCGTGCTGCGCCTTCCAGCAATCCCACCCCTCTCTCAACCCTTCTGAGCTCATTCTTCCCCTACACTTCGGAGATCAGCATGTCGTCGGCGGCAGAGCTGGCCCTGAAGAAGAAGTATGCCCTGCTCGCCAAGAAAAAGCAGGTGAGGGGCTCTGCTGGTGCAATCACCTGCTCAACACGAGGTACGCGACTGGTGGACGCATCCACAAGCGCCAATGCGAGCGCCCCCGACTGCAGGAGGCGGCCGGCGGCGGCAAGAGCGGTGGCGGCACGGGCAAGTGCAGCCACTTGCTGGCAGCTCAAGAGACAACAGTGTGCTGCTGCATGGACTGCAGTACAAAGGTAGTCACCCGCTCGCCCCGCCTGCTGCAGGTGGCGGCAGCGGCGCTGGGCCAGCGCCCGCGCCACAAGACCCCGCCCGGCTGGCGGCCATTCGAGCGCTGCAGGCAAAGAGGGCCGAGCAAGAGGCCAAGTCTGCGACAGCAGCGGCGACAGCCGCTGCGCCGGCACCAGCAGCCTCCAAGCAGCCCACCAAAGTCAAGCTAATCATCCCCAAGCGAGAGATGCCGCCCCCGGCAGCAGCCAGCGCACCGCCTGGGAAAGCAGCTGCGGGAGCAGCAGCAGCAGCAGGAAGAGGCGCCGCCTCTGCGCCTGCCGATCCCGCCAGGGCAGCGGCGCTGGCGGCGCTGCGTGCCAAGCAGCAGCCGGCTGCGGCGCGTGGTGCGCCAGCAGCTGCTGCGTGTGCGGCAGCCCCAGCGCCGCAGCCCAAGCGGCCCACTCTGAAGCGCCCCAGCGTGCGGCCGCGGCCCACCCCGCAGCAGCCGCCTGCAGCTGCGCCGGTAGATGGCACCTTTGGTGGCGAGGCTGCGTACCAGCAGCAGCAGCAGCAGCAGCATTTGGAGCCAGGTGGCTACTATGAAGGCGGCGGCGCAGGGGAGGCCGGGGACGAGCAGCTTGCCAAGCGGCAGCGCATGGAGCAGCAGGGGGCGGCGGCTGGGGGGTGAGGCGCCGCGCCGTCGCGGGGCCCCGGCCTGGATCTGCGCAGCGGCTGCACGGCAGCCGCCCCTGCCAGGCCTGCCTCCTGCCGGCCCCGCCATCCTGGCACACCAGCCGCCTGCCTGCCCTGCCCCACCCCGCCGACCCTGCCTCTGGCCTTGTGCGCAGGGATGGCGGCGAGGAGGGCGGCCAGCAGCTCACCACCCTGTTTGTGGGCGACCTGCCGCCCTCCTGGGCCACGCCAGACCTGGCCAACTTCTTCGCCTGCGAGTTTGGGGAGGTGCTGGAGGCGAGGGTGATAGGGGACCAGGTGGGCGGGGGGCGGGGGGCTGCGGGGGCGGCGCGTGGGTGGGCCGCTCATCGGCGACTCGTCGGCACGGATGCATGAGATCTGTGTGTGTGCATGGCCGGTGCTGCGTGCCCCGGCTTCACTCGCGCCCGCCGCCGCCGCCGCGTGCAGTGCTACGGCTTTGTGACGTTTGCCAGCGCCGCCGCCGCCGAGGGCGTGCTGGAGTTTGCGCAGCAGCAGGGCATCTGGGCGGAGGAGCGCATGCTGCGCATCAACTGGGCGCAGGTCAGCGTGCCGGGGGGGGGGGGGAGGTGCGGCGTGCCGGCCCAAGCCTGGCCGCCTTGCGGCCCCTACCCGCATCATTGCGTCGCCCGTGGGGCTGGCCCCCTTCCTCACGCCCCACACCCGCCGCCCCCTCCTCCCTGCTGTCCCGCAGAAGGCCGGCGATGCGCAGGGGGGGGAGGGGGCGCAGGCGGAGCACCCGCGCGTCACCGAGGCACGCCTGCAGGCCCAGCAGCTGGCAGCCAGCGTGGATGCGCAGCAGCTGGCGGCGCTGGCCATGCAGCGCCCGCCAGAGCGCCAGCTGGTCAGCTATGAAGACCTGTGACTGTTTGTGACAGTGTGTGTGGAGGGGTTGGGAGGCCTTGTGGGCTCTGCTTGCTTGCTCTCTCTCGCCTGCTTCCCTGCCTCGGCGCATTCATGTTACATGGCTGCCTGTCCAGCCTCCTGCCCGTACATCCATTCGGTGCATGCTGCGCTTCACCCCCGCCCACACATCGACTCCTCCACGCGTCTCTCCCTTCTGCCCTCCTGCTCCGTCCATAGCGGGCTGTACTGTACCATCTGCGCCAAGCTGGTCCTGGCCTTGTAGGGACGACAATGCCCCGGGTGCCGCCCGTCAGCGGTGCGAGGTGCCCCACTGAGCAAAGTAGGCAGGCGTGGGCTGCTGGCTGTTCAGCAGTGCCGCCAGCTGCGCCTCGCGCTGCCGCGCCTGCGCCGCCTGCCGCTGCTGCACAGCCGCCAGCTCCCCAGCCTGGCGCCGCCTCGCATCCTCGGCCGCCGCGGCGCGGCGCTCCACTTCGGCGGCGGCCGCCGCCGCCTGCGCCTCGTAAGCTGCCTGCTCTGCCGCGGCGCACTGCGCGGCGGCGCGCTTGGCCTCCACCTGCTCTGCCTGTGTGGCGTGGATGGCGGCGGTCTGGTGCGGGGCAAAGGCCTTGAAGTGGTCTGGCCGCACTCGGTGGGGCGCCAGCGCCGACACGCCCAGCTCAGGCGCCTCGTTGAGCCAGGGGCTGGCCAGGTTGGCCGCCTGCTCAGCGGCCGCAGCCGCCTCCTCCTCCATCCGTTGCTGCCCCTCCCGCTGCCGCCTCTCAACCTGTGTGAATGGGAGGGTGTGTGGGGCCGCCCAGCGGAGCACGTGATGTCAACATGCACCAGCAATGGCATCCCAGGATGTGTGCGCTCCTGCACACAGACCGCCCCACCCACCTCCTGCTGTTGACGGAAGGCATCCACGCCCTGGTCCTGAGCACGCCGTGCCTGGCTGGCCGCCGCCGCGCGCAGCACCACCGCCGTCTCAAACGAGTTGCTGGCCTGTGCGGCGACGCGCGCCGCCTGCCGCTCCCGCTCCTCTGCCTCGCGCCTCTCCCGCACCTGCGCGTCCAGGGCGGCCGTGTCCACCTGCGACGCGGAGCAGGCAGGCCGTGGGGGAGAGGTCAAAGGGGGTGGGCGGCGTGGCAGTCAACGGCAGCACATGTTGCACATGCCCCCGCCGGCTCACCCCTATCATCCTCAGCCGCTCATTCTGCATTCGTGCAAGCCGCACTGGATCGTGAGGCGGTATTATCGGCTTGGTCATGGCTGTGAAGGGAAAGAGGGTGGAGGTGCGGGTGGTTGGATCGGCCTGGGATCGGTTGCCGTGTTTCGGGCGGTTCTGTGCCCTCTAATACGAATGTCGAATACGTCCAGAGAGAGTCTAAACCTCCTGCGGGGTGGCCTTGGCCCGAGTGGCGCCAGCTCAGCCAAACACTCCCAAGCCAGCCTGCCAGGCTCCTGGCATCCCACAACATCCATCTGTTTATTCACTATTGGCAACAGAACAACCCGCAGGGCATCCCTCATCCGCAACTTGCTGTGAACCCTCCCATCTCTTGCTCTCCTCTCCCGCATGCTGCTTATAGCCGCTTCCCACCATTCACAGCCGCCCACGACGGCTGCAGGGCGCCCGCAACAGCGCCAGACCCCTGCCGCCACAGGACTTCTGCTGCCCGGCCGCCGCCACCTGTTGAGCTTTGCGGCGCCGCTGCTCTTCCTGCCCTGGCGCGGCTGCGACCAGGGTGGAAACTACTCTACAGGCGCGGCCTTCAATATAGCTTGGCCGAACTGGGCGCTGGGCTGTGCTGGCGGGGGAGTTTGCTATGTGTGCACATGGGCGCGCTGGCCACCATCGACACACTGCTCCGCACCCAGCGACACAGATGCAACCGCCTGCAGGTGTGACGGATGGAGGTTGCCAGCAGATCTACCAGCCCGCCGCCGCAGCAGAGAAGCGGTGGGTGGCTGCGCTTGAGTCATGCATTTAGCCCGCAGTTTACCACTCGCATTGCCCCAGCATGGCATGCTGGCCCTGAGACCTCGCCACCTGTGCGTTCCCGCCTTGCAGATTTTCCCAGCTGCAACAGCAGCAGCAGCAGGCAGCAGCCGTGGCGGCGGGAGCGGGGGAGTCCCCCCGGCCGCCAGCCAGCACGCGTGAGGAGTTGCGCACGCTACTCAAGGAGCAGCAGGCGTATGAGCGGGAGGCGATGGATGCCGCGCAGCAGCAGCGCACCAAGGAGCTAGTGGACAGCATGTGGCAGGGCCTGGAGTGACGCTGGCGGCAGCATGGCACCCATCGCCTCCTTGTCTGGTGCCATTTCCGTCAAAAACTTACAGTGTGTGCAGGGGTTTGGCAGCAGCAGCTGTAACAAAGCTGGCCGCCGGCCTCAGTGCTGTGCAGAATAGGAAAGGGGAGCGTAGGGAAGGCGTGCAGCTCACTGGGAGTGAGCTGCTGCTGCACGGCATGCCTGCAGGCAAGTGTGCCTGCCACGCATGGGCCCAGCCACCGCGTCAAGCGCGCAGTCGGTGCAGGGCATCACTTGTCATCCTTGTCCATGCCGAGCTGCTTCTTGATCTGCAGAGAGGAATCGCAGACAATGCGTGAGGGGGTGATGCGCATGCAGATGGCGGCAAATTGAGCTGTCCTGCGTTGTCCGCACCCCATACCAGCTGCAGCACACCCCTCCAAGTCCAGCTCACATAATCAAACGGCTGGGTCAGCCACAAGGCTGTCACGCCTGCACACAACAAAGCAAGCGTGATGTTGCTGGCGCAGACGAGGGATGGAGGCAGAACAAGGGACGGTCAGTGGGGAGCAGGAGACACCGCGTCTCTACTTTGCAGGAACACGCACCCAAGCAGCCGCCCCAGATGGCCATGGACTGCACTGCTGTAGGCCCAGGCGCCATCCGCTTGGCAATCAGCTGCACAGCAGACGAGGGTTGCGGGGCGGGGCGGTGAGCGGGAGGATGGCGGCAGGCCAACCCCACAGCCGACTGCCTCTCTTACAACCCGAGATATCGATCGTGTACTACAAGACAGCCCCTGAGCACTCCAGTCAGCACAGGCAGCTGCAAACGCCTCAGAGTGTCGGCGGCAGGCGGCACCCGCCGGTGCCACTCCATTGACTGCACTCGTGTCGTGCTTCTGCAAGTACGTTGCCCACCTTAAAGCCCGCCATTCCTCTGCACTAACCTCGACCCGCTGCTGGAGGCAACCCAATGGGGCGCAGAGACGGCTGATGCAAGGCAGAGGCAGATGCACAGCAGCAGGGGGACCTGCAGCGCTGGGGTTTGCCAGACTCTCCAGGGCACTACAGTTCGTGGGTACCGTTCGGTCACAGGAGGCGGCATTCTGCCCCTGGCCACATTCGATCGCCCATGTCGCTCACCCAGATGATGTTGGAAGTCCTGGGAGGCAGTCCTCTGTCCTGCCTCCGAGAAGCGTGGGCCAGTCTCCTCGTATTCGCCTGCCAGCGCGTGTTTCGGGGCTTCTTGCAGGTGATGTAGGACGGGATGGCCCAATGCAGCGCGCAGGGAACCGGTGACGCCGTCACCCTCTCCCTTGGACCTGCGTCACTTTTGCGCCGCCGCCGGGCCTGTGCTGAGTGGTGTGCCCTGCTGCGTCTCTGCTCGACCCAGCGCCCTGAGCGTCGCCTGGCTCCACCTGCCCGCAGGATCTGTTCCTGTCGCTGCCCTGGGTCCAGGAGGGCGTGCTGCGGGCGTTGCGCACCCGGGGCTACCGAGAGGTTGTGACGCAGGCGCTGCAGGCGCCCCCGCCCGGCGCCTCCTTTGCCAGCTTGGAGTACTATGTGGATGCTGCGGCGGCCCAGACCCTGCAGTTTGCGGCGCTGGCGGCCCTCAGCACCCACCTGCAGTCGGAGGAGGTGCTGGCGCCGGCGCAGCTGCTGCCGCAGGTCAGCCGGGTGCTGCTGCAGACCGAGGAGCCGCAGGCGGGCAGGTTCCTGGAGGCGGTAGCGGCGGCGCTCGCCAGCCAAATGAGCGCAGGTGCGGGGCCCCGGGGAGCAGAGCAAGGCAGGCCAGGGTCTGCTGCTGCGGCTGAGGGCAGCGCCACGGCTGCCTGCAGAGCCAGGGGCGGACGTGTGCCCCACATGCGCTCGCCACGCTTGCCCTGGTGCATGCATCGGGGCCATGCATGCATCCCCGCCGCGCCTGAGCATGCCTTGCGCCGCCCAGCTGCAGGCCTGCTGCTGGTGGACGGCATGCTGCTGGCCACCCTGGCCGGCACCACCTTTGGCCGCCCTCCAGAGGCCTACCTGGCCGCCTTTAGCGGGGCCGGCGCCGCCGCCTCCTCGCCCCTCACCGCCAGGGACGCCGCCCGGCTGCGGCTGGCGTGGCGGGCGCTGCGGGAGGTGCTGTACGATCTGGAGCGCCCCACAGGCGAGCGCTTGCGTGGCGCCGGTGGCGGCAGGGAAGGTGTAGTGTTGATCAGCCTCGGAGGAGCCCTGCGCAGCTGCCTTGCCCCCCCATCACGGCCCCCCGACCACCACCTGTATGTATTCGTGCAGTGGTGTATGTGCGGAACGTGGAGGCGCTGCTGTGCTCCTCCCACGAGGCCCACCAAGCGTTCATGGGCGCATTTGCCAGCCAGGAGATGGCGTTGGAAGGCGCTCCCAGCCGCGCGCCGCTGGTGCTGGTGGCAGGCGTGAGCGTGAACGAGTCGGCGGCGGCGCGCGCGGGGGTGCGCCCCCAGCGCCAGCTGCAGCCGGGCCTGGCCGCGGCAGGGCTGGGCAGCGGCAGCGAGGAGGAGGAGGAGGAGGAGGAGGATGGATCGCTGCGCCCCAAGCCAGGCACGTGCTGAGGTTGTTGCTGCCCCCGACGCCCTGTGCAGTACAGGGCACCCCCGCCCACCTGCTCTCACTGCCCTGCTGCGCCCTGGAAGCTCCAGCGCTGACGTGCGCTGCCCGTGCCGGCCCGGCTGCAGGGCGGGGCGGTGGCTCCAGCGAGCTGCTGGGGCTGGAGGACGAGCTTGGGCTGGGCGACCTGCTGCGCAGCCTGAGCCAGCTGGCACGCGACAGCCAGCGGCCCAACGCGCGCAAGTGAGCGGCGGGCGCCGGGCCGCCTTGGCCCGCCCGCCCCGCCTGCCTGCCTGGTTGGCTGCTGCTGGCATGCCTTGCTGCCAGCCTGTGGCGACCCTCAGGCCGGCCTGCTGCCGGTGGCTGCGCTTGCCACGCGTCTGCTGTGTGCCACCCGCTGGCGCCCCACCCCCCTGCCGGCCACCCGCCCCGCCCTGGCGCAGGCTGCTGCTGCGGCTGTTCCCCACCCGCGTCAAGCTGGCGCCGCCCCCTGCGGGCCCCGCCGCCGCGCGCCACCAGCAGCGCATGCAGCGGGACGCGGCTGAGGAGGCGGAGGAGGAGAACTACCGGGTGGCGGCGGCGGTGGCGGCCTCCACAGGGGTGTCCATCCCTCCCAAGGCCAGCGGCATCTACGGCGGCAGCCCCGGCGCCCGGCTGAGCAGGGGGGACTGGGGGAAGGTGCTGTCCTGGGCGGTGGCCATGCAGACGCTGCAGGCCAAGCAGCAGCTGCTGCAGGAGGAGGAGGAGCAGGAGGAGGAGGAGGAGCGGGAGCGGGAGCAGGCCGCAGCGCTGCTGTGCCCAGCCGAGGCGGCAGCCGACGAGGCAGCGCCCAGCCTGGCCGGCAACCGGGGCAGCAGCAGAGGCCCGCGGCAGGAGGCCGCACTTGCCCCGGGCGCTGGGCTGCGGCAGCGGCGACTGGCGCCCAGCTTGGGCGCAGGCGCCACGGCGGCTGGCGAGGAGGCAGAGGCGGCAGCCGGGGCGGCTAGGAGGGCCGACAGCAGCAGGCGGCTGCGGTCGGCACCAGGCGGCGCCTCGGCCCGCCCCACCCTGGCTGCCAGCCTGTGGCAAGGCCTTTGGCAGGCCGTCAGCCCGCTGCGCCTGGCGGCGTCGGCTGCAGCGCTGCCGTGGCGCCTGGCGCAGGCGGCCAGCGGCGCCGCGCGTACCGCCCTGTACCGCCTGCCGCTGGTGGGCGGCCCGCTGGAGGGGCTGCTGGAGGGGCGGCTGGATGCGGCCCAGCTAGAGGCGGAGCTACGGGAGCTGGAGGCGCAGCTGGCGCAGCTGGAGCGGCACCGGGGGGCCGCCGCCAGCAGCGGCGCGGCCAGCGTCGACGGCGGCGGCGGTGGCGGCGGCGGCGGCGGGTCGGGCGCACTGCTTCTGAGCGGTACGGCGGTACGGTACGGGCTGGGCATGCTGCAGCGCAGCAGCGGCGGCGTGAAGCAGCGCATCGAGCCGGCCAACTCGTATGAGCGGGCGCTACTGGCGGAGGTGGGGCAGCGGCGCGNGGGGGGGGGGGGGGGGGGGG